ACCAGGGACAGATCAGAGAGAGACCAGGGACAGATCAGAGAGAGACCAGGGAGAGACCAGGGACAGACCAGAGAGAGACCAGACAGAACCCAGACAGAGACCAAAAAGAAACAAGGAAGAGAGGTCAGAAAAAAAAAATCTAGAGAAATATAGCAAAGCGATTTCTCATTTTTTTCCTCGTCAGGAAACAATCAGAAAAGATAAACTAAAATTGTCTCAAGTGTAAAACACAAATGAAAACATGTAGAGCATTCACAAACTCGGAGAGAAAGCCGTTAGCTCGTCTCTGCTGTTGCGTGTCGTGCAGTGAGTATCCGATGAGCGCTAATGAAAGACTGGAACAAAAACAGAATTAAGCCTGAAAATGACTCAAATCAACACTTGCTCGCACTCGCTGTCCTAAAGCTCAGCAGCTGTGGAGGATTAGCACTTCGAATCGCCTTCCTCTAGCACCTGTCGCCACCAGAAGCACTCCGGACGCAGAGAGAGAACAGGACTAGAGCTGGACTAGAGCAGGACTAGGGCTGGAGAGGCAGTGGAGGGGACGGCAGCCATCTTGTGTATATCAAACAGTGTTAACCTTAAAGCTGCACTAACTGACTTTGTGATTTCGAAGCAGCGGTTTCAAAAGTTAGCGCTGGCTTCGCTCTTTCTCCTCCCCTCCCCGCACCCACGAAGCTATCGCCCCCCACTAACCCACACCCACTGTTGTTTACGGAGCTAGCGTCTCACAACATGGATCGCACATTTGAACGTGGATGGCGTGACCATAGAATGATAGAACCGGGAAGCGCGGAGGACGAGACTTTCTTTAGGATGGCTGTTTTGCTGAGTAAGCAGTAGCCGGTAATAAATACACGGGAAGTTTAAGGTTAGCCTCCGCCGCTTGTTTACCTCAGCTGTCTGTGCTAACAAGAGACCTGTGGCTTTTCTCAAGAAAGTGGGGGCCAGTGGTCCACTGCGATTGGTCACAATCTGGTCCTGAAACAAATTCTCGTCACAAACTCGATCTAAAATAAAGTGACAGTCCAGCACAAACCAGCGCTACTTATTCTTCAAAAGAACGTATATCCCAATGCACTGCACGGATATGGATTGCATTTTCCTAATTAACACAAAAATAAGGTAATGCAGCTTTAATGCGCTGTACTTCTATACTATCACCAGAAAGTTCTTGATATTAGATGAGTGGCCTCTCTCTCTGGGGTCTCTCTGGTCTCTCTGTGGTCCAACTGTTGTTTCTCTGTGGTCTATCTCTGCTCTCTTTCTGCTCTGGTCTCTCTCTCTGGTCTCTGATTTCTCTCTCTTTTAATGCAGAAAAGGCTGATTTTATCAAAGGCTCGCTGGAGTCAACATTCTTCTTTGGGCATTGTTCTGACGAAGCTCTCTGATTGGTCGATCCTTTTATGGCTCATACCTGATGACGGCTAAAGAGGCCTCATCAGTATCATTGGAATCGCTCTAGAGTTGTACTTATGTCTCGTTCTGTTCCAGTGTTGAGAGGAGCAGAGCTGTCGGGGGCAAACTCAGGGCAGGGACAGGGCAACCAGGGGGCAGGGGGGAGACAGGGGGAGAGAGGGGGGAGGCAGGAGGACAGAGGGGAGGTATGTAAACACAGCACTCTTACACGCAATGGGAAAGTACTGCACTCAGGAGAAATATGGAAATGCAAAAACCATGGCTCTGTAGTAACACTTACAATAAGCCCTTACTAGCTAACAGCTAATTAAGTGCTAATTAGTGTACCCTAAACTCTAACGTTAACCTTTCTTTAACTTTATACAGTGGGGCATAAACGTATTTGTTATCGATTGCGCAAGCCGAGCATGGGGGTGGAAACATGAGGATTTGGGGTTGATTTTCTGAAAGAAGGACAGGATGACTGATCTGTGTCGTGAGATTTTGGGGAAGAACGTTGAAGCGTGGCTGAGTCTTGGAATGATCCAATACTAATGGAATATGCGCTAGCTCAATGAAGCACAATAGGGAAATTTAGCTCCTCTCTCTGGCTCCTATTGACTTACGTAAAAGAAAGTGTCTGTCTGTGTTTGTGTGTGTCTATGTGTGTTTGTGTGTTCGTGTGTGAGTGTCTTTGTGTGCAGGTTAATGTGCCCTTCTTCTTCTCTGGAATCTCAAAAATGTTACAACCGACCCACGCGGACTCAAAATGAGATAATTTACACAGAGACTGAATCAGCAGAACCAGAGAAAGACCAGACAGAGAAAGACCAGGAGAGAGAGACCAAAGAGAGAGAGAGAGACCAAGAGAGAGATCAGACAGAGACCAGAGAGAGATCAGACAGAGACCAGAGAGAGAGAGACCAAAGAGAGAGAGAGACCAAAGAGAGAGAGACACACACACAGAGAGAAGAGACCAGACAGAGACCAGGGAAAGAGCAGAGAGAGAGACCAGAGAGATCAGACATGACAATGAAAGTGATTTTTGACTTGTGAAGGTCTGTCCCTAGTTGCCCCTAAAGCTCATGTGTTTTATTCTAACGGCTGCAGATGAAGTTAAATCCCAAAAGCCGGGGTTTCTCTGACGGTTTGACGAGCAAACACCAAACTGGAGCCATCATTCTTACAGAGACACGACGTCAGCAAGAACCAGAGAAGGTGCTGTCTGCTTTCATCTGGACTTCAAAGGCTGGACCAGAACACATTAGAACAGAGAGAGAGAGAGAGAGAGAGAGAGCGCAGAGAGAAAACAGAGAGAGAGGGAGCGAGAGAGAGCAGAGAGGGAGAGAGAGAGAGAGAGAGAGAGAGCGAGAGAGATCAGAGAGGGAGAGAGGAGAGAAAGAGAGAGAGCAGAGAGAGGGAGAGAGGAGAGAAAGAGAGAGAGCAGAGAGAGGGGGAGAGAGAGCAGAGAGAGGAGAGAGAGGGAGAGGAGAGAGAGAGAGGAGAGAAAGAGCAGAGAGAGAAAGCAGAGGGAGAGACCAGAGAGAGAGAGACCAGAAAGAGACCAGAGAAAGACCAGAGAGAGAAAGAGAGAGACCAGGTAGAGAGACCAGATAGATACCGTCATCTGGACTTCAAAAACTGGACCATTCCACTCACACCAGATTAGTACAGATTACAACGGAAGCCAAATACCTGGATTTAAAGACATGTGTGAAATAAATTAGCTTTGAACCTAACCAAAAACAGACCTGTGTTAGCCTGTGTCAGCCTTTTTTAGCCTGTGTCAGCCTGTCATAGCCTGTGTTAGCTTGTGTCAGCCTCTGTCAGCCTGTGTCAGCCTGTGATAGCCTGTGTCAGCCTGTGTCAGCCTGTGTCAGCCTGTGTCAGCCTGTGTCAGCCTGTGATAGCCTGTGTTAGCCTGTGTCAGCCTGTGATAGCCTGTGTCAGCCTGTGATAGCCTGTGTCAGCCTGTGATAGCCTGTGTTAGCCTGTGTCAGCCTGTTTTAGCCTCTGTCAGCCTGTGTCAGCCTGTGTCAGCCTGTGATAGCCTGTGTTAGCCTGTGTCAGCCTGTGATAGCCTGTGTCAGCCTGTGTCAGCCTGTGTCAGCCTGTGATAGCCTGTGTCAGCCTGTGATAGCCTGTGTTAGCCTGTGTTAGCCTGTGTCAGCCTGTGATAGCCTGTGTCAGCCTGTGATAGCCTGTGTTAGCCTGTGTCAGCCTGTGATAGCCTGTGTCAGCCTGTGATAGCCTGTGTCAGCCTGTGATAGCCTGTGTTAGCCTGTGTCAGCCTGTTTTAGCCTCTGTCAGCCTGTGTCAGCCTGTGATAGCCTGTGTTAGCCTGTGTCAGCCTGTGACAGCCAGTGTTAGCCTGTGTTAGCCTGTGTCAGCCTGTGTTAGCCTGTGTCAGCCTGTGATAGCCTGTGTTAGCCTGTGTCAGCCTGTGATAGCCTGTGTCAGCCTGTGTCAGCCTGTGTCAGCCTGTGTCAGCCTGTGTCAGCCTGTGATAGCCTGTGTCAGCCTGTGATAGCCTGTGTTAGCCTGTGTCAGCCTGTGACAGCCAGTGTTAGCCTGTGTTAGCCTGTGTCAGCCTGTGTTAGCCTGTGTCAGCCTGTGATAGCCTGTGTTAGCCTGTGTCAGCCTGTGATAGCCTGTGTCAGCCTGTGTCAGCCTGTGTCAGCCTGTGACAGCCAGTGTTAGCCTGTGACAGCCAGTGTTAGCCTGTGACAGCCAGTGTTAGCCTGTGATAGCCTCTGTCAGCCTGCGTCAGCCTGTGATAGCCTGTGTTAGCCTGTGATAGCCTGTGTCAGCCTGTGTCAGCCTGTGATAGCCTGTGTCAGCCTGTGTCAGCCTGTGACAGCCAGTGTTAGCCTGTGATAGCCTGTGTTAGCCTGTGATAGCCTGTGTTAGCCTGTGTTAGCCTGTGATAGCATAGCTGTGTTAGCTGTGTTAGCTGTGTTGTGCTAGTCATGGAGACTAAGGAAGTTTGGCTCATTTGAAAGCAAAGCAGTACATTGTATTTTTACAAAAGCTGAGGTTCCCAACTTTAGCTTCAGAATAGAGTTTTATAAAAGTTATTTCTAAATAGAGGGATTCTACGGTCATGTGACTAGTTGCCACGGCGGCCATACTGGAGGACAACCGAGGCGAGTAACAGCCATGCTAGCTATTTATAACTGGACTTTCAAAACTAAAACTCTCTCGAACTACATGAAAACTGAACAAAAAGTTTGATAAATCAGCAGTTAGTGACCCAAATAAATACTCAACCTAAATCCATGAATCAGATCCACTGCAAAATGTATTATTAATGTTAATGGTTACTTCAGGGTTTACTGCGGTCGCATTAAAACAGTATTTTTGTCATGAAAGCGTGAACAGCAAATCATATGTGTATAATGAATTCTCAGATTAAAATTTAAATGTGTTTAATGTTATTTGTGTTTATTGATACACCATGGATCTATGTGTGGCTACACTAGCATGGAAATAATGAAATTACATTCAAATCCATGGAGCTTTCTGCGTCTACTGTGAGGAGCCGTATACTTCATTCATAAATACTAGTACTAGGCACCCTGCCCCGAGCACGGCTCAGTCGTTCACACGTCTGCTGGCCTTCGGCAAGTCAGACACCCAGTGAGCTGGGTGAGGTCCGGTGAGCTGGGTGAGGCCCGGTGAGCTGGGTGAGGTCCGGTGAGCTGGGTGAGGTCCGGTGAGCTGGGTGAGGTCCGGTGAGCTGGGTGAGGTCCAGTGAGCTGGGTGAGGTCCGGTGAGCTGGGTGAGGTCCGGTGAGCTGGGTGAGGTCCAGTGAGCTGGGTGAGGTCCGGTGAGCTGGGTGAGGTCCGGTGAGCTGGGTGAGGTCCGGTGAGCTGGGTGAGGTCCGGTGAGCTGGGTGAGGTCCAGTGAGCTGGGTGAGGTCCGGTGAGCTGGGTGAGGCCCGGTGAGCTGGGTGAGGTCCAGTGAGCTGGGTGAGGCCCGGTGAGCTGGGTGAGGTCCAGTGAGCTGGGTGAGGTCCAGTGAGCTGGGTGAGGTCCGGTGAGCTGGGTGAGGCCCGGTGAGCTGGGTGAGGTCCAGTGAGCTGGGTGAGGCCCGGTGAGCTGGGTGAGGTCCAGTGAGCTGGGTGAGGTCCAGTGAGCTGGGTGAGGTCCGGTGAGCTGGGTGAGGTCCAGTGAGCTGGGTGAGGTCCGGTGAGCTGGGTGAGGTCCGGTGAGCTGGGTGAGGTCCAGTGAGCTGGGTGAGGTCCAGTGAGCTGGGTGAGGTCCAGTGAGCTGGGTGAGGTCCGGTGAGCTGGGTGAGGTCCAGTGAGCTGGGTGAGGTCCGGTGAGCTGGGTGAGGTCCGGTGAGCTGGGTGAGGTCCGGTGAGCTGGGTGAGGTCCGGTGCGACAGTAGCTCAGTTGGTAGAGCATTGGCCTTAAGGCCAGAAGGTCGTGGGTTCAATTCCCACCTCTGCACCTTCTCCACCGACTCCCACTGATGACTGCTGTCGTTGTGTCCTTGGGCAAGACACTTAACCCCACTTTGCCCAAAGCCCCCACTGAAAGATCAAGGCTATGCTCACACTTAGAGAGCAGCCGTCCTCCTGTGGACTCACCACCTGCAGAGGGTCAGTGAGGGGCTGGTGCTATGAGACTTGGGTGACCCAGAAATGGATTAAAGGGTAGAAAATGGATGGATGGATGGATGTTTCTGAATAACAGTAAATCTGCCACCAAATTAATTTTACGTAGCAGAAATGAAATGATCAGAGCATATTCGGACGCTCTGGAGGCTGTTGCTTTTTTGTTGTTGTGCCATTTCTCTCTCGTTTCTTGGAGATTTCTTCTGTTTTGGAGCCATGTGAAGTAAGGACGGCTGGCAGTCGGTAAAACAACTGATTGTCCCTGTCTCCCCTTTTACTGCAGCCAAAAACGGCACAAAATGTGACCATGGGTGCACGGCACTACCACACTGCGTTTGCTTGTCCTCCAATATGGCGGAGGCCTCACGACTTCAAACCCTTGTAAGAATCTCACACATGATGAGATTCTCTCTGGTGATTGTCAATAGAACGCATGTTAATGGTCTCTCTCTCTCTGGTCTCTCTTTCTAGTCTCTCTCTGATCTCCCCCTCTTTTCTGTCTCTCTGCTTTCTCTCTGGTCTCTAGTCTCTCTCAGGTCTCTCCCTCTGGTCTCTCTCTCTGGGCTTTGTCTCTCAGTCCTGGATCTAGAGTCTGAAAAAGCCGATCTAAAGATGTGAAAAAGGCTAAAAGAGCAAGAAAAAAGAGATTAAAGTAAACTGTTTAGAACCAGGAACTAGAGACATGGACTTTCTCACATAGTTCCATGATTGTGGTTGGAAAGTTACGTCGCTCAGCTTTAAATCTTCAGGTAGAACACATTTTCCATGTGAGTTTGGGCCAGAGGTTTGGGGAGTGTTGGTCTGTGCAATCATTCATGTCCTCCTCCTGGTCTCACAAACTAAATTAAAAGTATTTGGCTCAGGGTCGAGCAGAGACCAGAGAGAGACCAGAGAGAGACCAGAGAGAGAGAGAGGCCAGAGAGACCAGAGACAGAGAGAGACCAGAGGGAGACCAGAGAGAGACCAGAGAGAGACCAGAGAGAGACCAGAGAGAGACCAGAGAGAGACCAGAGAGAGACCAGAGACAGAGAGAGACCAGAGAGACCAGAGACAGAGAGAGACCAGAGAGACCAGAGACAGAGAGAGACCAGAGAGACCAGAGACAGAGAGAGACCAGAGGGAGACCAGAGAGAGACCAGAGAGAGACCAGAGAGAGACCAGAGACAGAGAGAGGCCAGAGGGAGACCAGAGGGAGACCAGAGGGAGACCAGAGAGAGACCAGAGAGAGACCAGAGAGAGACCAGAGACAGAGACTAGAGAGAGACAGAGAGGGGCCAGAGAGACCAGAGAGAGACCAAAGAAAATCGACTGTTGTGTTATTTATGGTCTCCTTCAGACTCAGAGCGGAGCAGGATTATGTGAGAGAAATATTTCACAGTCAGATCAAACAGAAGAGGTGTTTCTGGGGGAAGATTGGGGGAGATTTTGGGGAGGTGAGGAGGAGGTGAGGAGGAAGTGAGGAGCAGGTGAGAAGGAGGTGAGGAGGAGATGAGGGGGAGGTGAGAAGGAGGTGAGGAGGAGATGAGGAGGAGATGTAACCTGGCAAGAGCCAGATTGATGATTGTGTAGAACTCTAACGCGTTCTCCGCGATATCAATCTGGGATTTCTCCCGGAGAATCCTTTCGGGGAAAGGAGGGATAAGCAGCAGAATACTTCAAGCTGATTGGGCGAAGTGACGCTGTGTGCCCGCCTACACTCTTGACAAAACCCGTAGGTAAAAATGCACAAACATCTTTGCCGTCCAGAAATGCACAAAGCGCCTCTCGCTGTTCATCTTTCAAAAAAGAAATTGGAGATTCTGCTAAAACTGACTTGATAGCCTCAGCTACGCGTCCGTCCTCCTGCGTAGCCATGTTTGTTTTGCTTCGGCCCGGCACTTCTTGCTTTCGTCAAACCCGGATATCCCGCCCTAAACCCCCAGACTGGCGCGTGATTGGCTCGCACACCCAGTGGTTCGACTCGAAAAGTGTAAGCGGGAGCGGTACAAGATGTATTCTCGAGTGTTTGTGAACTCACAAATACCGCGAGAATTCAGCTTGCAGGCAAGGTTAGAGGAGATGAGGGGGAGGTGAGAAGGAGGTGAGGAGGAGATGAGGAGGAGATGAGGGGGAGGTGAGAAGGAGGTGAGGAGGAGATGAGGAGGAGATGAGGGGGAGGTGAGAAGGAGGTGAGGAGGAGATGAGGAGGAGATGAGGGGGAGGTGAGAAGGAGGTGAGGAGGAGATGAGGAGGAGATGAGGGGGAGGTGAGAAGGAAGTTAGAAGCAGGTGAGGAGTAAGTGAGGATGAGGTGAGGAGGAGGTGCACGGAGGACATCTCTCTCATGTCTCTCTCTGATCTTTCTCTCTGGTCTGTCTCTCTCGAGACTCGCTCTGGTCTCTCCCTGGTCTCTTTGGTCTCCCTTTCTCTGGTCTCTCTCTTTGGTCTCTCTTTCTGGTCTCTCTCAAAGTGCTGGGGAGTTTGAGGCTGTCGAGCAGAGAGAGAGAGACACTTCACAGAGAAAGAGTGATATAAAACAGTTCTGTTCATGTGAGAAAAGAAATGGAAGGATTTAGAGGCCATAAGTCAAAATGGCAGCTGCAGAACTCTGAGGACGAGTCAATAATCGCAGACACATATTTGTAGCATGAGTCTGAAAACACACAGATACACACACATAGCAACACATTTACTACATCACGGATATCACAGGACAACACAAGGAAAGGTTGGCGTGTTGTTTGGGGTCAGGTTGTTTTTCTCTGGTCTCTCTGTGGTCTATTTCTGGTCCATCTCTGGTCTCTCTCTGGTCTCACTCCAGTCTCTTTCTAGGCCTCTCTCGGGTCTCTCTCGGGTCTCTCTCTGGTCTCTCTCCAGTCTCTCCCTAGGCCTCTCTCTGGCCTCTCTTTGGTCTCTCTCTGGTCTCTTTCTGGTCTCTCTCTAGTCTCTCGCTAGTCTCTCTCTGGTCTCTCTCTGGTCTCTCTCTGGTCTCTCTCAGTTCTCTCTCTCTGGTCTCTCTGGTCACTCTCGGCTCTCTCTCTGCACTCTCTTGGGTCTCTCAGGCCTCTCTCTGGCCTCTCTCTGGTCTCGCTCTGGTCCTGCTCTAGTCCCAGCAGCAGTAGTAGCGGACAGAGTGGAGGACGTGGCAGATTGATGTCTGTTATTCCTCCCCCCACGAGTGAAAATAAACTCAGACACCTCCTCTTCCTCAGTATTTCTCTCCCCCTCTCTCTCCCTCCTCCAGGTCTCTCTCTCCCTCCCTCTCTCTCTCACATACATCAGACAGGAGGAAGAACTGCTCCTCTCCTTATAAACACAATCACAGGTTTCTGAATGATGTGAAATCACAGCCAAAGCTAATATTATCAAACTATACAAGGTCTGTGAGTCGCTGCACTTTGCATGAGAGGATTTAAAGCTCGGGTACGTAACTCTCAAACCAAAACACTAGAACTATGGTATAAAATCCATGTCATTAAGCCTAGCGTACATCGACAGAGAAACTGGGGACAACTAGTTGCAAGGCGGCTTTTGGCAACTGAGAGGAGATGGTGGGAGATGATCAGTTGCCGAAATCGGTCGATATGCGCGCTCTTACAACTGGAGATGATCAGTCGGTCTCCAGTTTCAGTCAGTTGCCCGTGTTCTACTTTTCGGCAACTAGTTGTCCTCAGTTTCGGAGATATGACCCGATGTGCGCGCTCCATGCGCCGCTCCGACAACGTGTGTGTATTGCATGTGTTGCGAGCCCGCAACAGTTTATGTCAGAAAACACACTATAGTTGAGGCCAGTTGCTGTCGATGTACGCGCTGTTATTCCCGAGACTGGTCTGCTACTGGGAGTTGCCCGTTTTCGTCAGATTGTCGATGTGTGCGGGGCAGCAACTCATATGCGACGGATATAATCAGTTGCCGGTCCGATGTACGCTAAGCTTTAGAGATATCAGAGAGAGGGAGCAGAGAGAGACTAGAGAGAAAGATAATGGATGGACCAGAGAGAAACCAGGGAGAGACCAGAGAGAGACAAGAGAGAGACCAGAGAAAGAGAGAAGAGATAGAGGAGTGAGAGAGAGACACAAATAATAAAGACTGTTCCAATATTTTATCTTCACATGAGCCTGGACACCCGAGTGTGTGGTGTTAGCGGGATGTAGTAGCTAACGTGGCTAACATGGCTAATGCTAAGCAGCTGTGCGGCTCGGCTCGGCTCTGAGAGGAAACAGGGACATGTGTCATGGAAGTGTCAGACACAGAAGCCGTAACATGAACTCACATACAGTCTGTACAACACACAGAGGAGAGAGAGAGAGCAGAGAGAGAGAGAAGAGGGAGAGCAGAGGAGAAAGAACAGAGGAGAGAGAGAGCAGAGAGAGAGAGCAATGGAGAGAGAGAGCAGAGAGAGAAAGAGATCAGAGAGAGAGCAAAGAGAGAGCAGAAGAGAGAGGAGAGAACAGAAAAAGAGAGAGCAGAGGAGAGAGGAGGCGAGCAGAGAGAGAAGTGAAAGAGCAGAGGAGAGAGAGAACAGAGGAGAGAAAGAGCAGAGGGAGAGCAGAGGAGAGAAAAGAGAGCAGAGAGTGCAGAGAGAGAGGAGAGAGAGAGATTATATACAGAGTTATATATAGAGTACCAGAGATCCAAGAGTGAGAGACTAGAGAGACCAGAGAGAGCGAGAGAGATACAAGGGAGAGACAAGAGAGAGACCAGATATAAATGAGAGAGGGAGAGACCGGAGAGAGGCTAAAAAAAAGAGACCAGAAAAATGAATAAGGAATAAACTTCTTCAAAGCGATGCAGAGAATCACATTCACACATCTGTAGCTGATTCTCTATAAAAAGTGTGAGATAAATGTTTGTGAGTTTGTGCTGAACAGAAGGAAGTGAGTGATCATGGAGCACATGGAGAGAGACGGAAAAGATTGTTCGAAATGTGTTGGACGTCACGAGAGCGAAGTCATACTGCACATGTAGGACCAGAGTGGGAAAGGTGGGCGAGTTGTTTGGACCCGTGTCTGCTTTTTACAGAGAGAAAATGCGCAGTCACACCCAAATGAAAGACCAGAGAGAGAAAGCAGAGAGAGCAGAGAGAGAGACCAAGAGAGAGAGCAGAGAGAGACCACAGATAGAGCAGAGAGATACCAGAGAGAGACCGGAGAGAGACCAGAGAAGGACCAGAGGGAGAGACCAGCAAGAGAGACTAGAGAGAGGGAGACCAGAAAGAGAGACCAGAGACCAGAGAGTGACCAGAGAGTGAGAGACCAGAGAGTGACCAGAGAGAAACCAGAGAGACCAGAGAGAGAGAGACCAGAGAGTGACCAGAGAGAGAGAGACCAGAGAGACCAGGGAGAGAGAGACCAGAGAGTGACCAGAGAGTGACCAGAGAGACATATATATAGCTGTATTAGTTATAGTTAAGCATATCTTAATCGCAGTGGACAAATCTCACTTCTACTTCAGCAGCAGCAGTCGAAGACCTTCTGTGAACACTAAAGATGACAAGGACTGAGAAAAGTCATCCCTATGTGAGGGAGGGAGTCGTGGGAAGTGGCTCTACCCCGAGTGCCGGTCTTTCCCAGACCTCTCTCTCCGCTCGCTTTATGGGAACGATTAAATTTAGCTCTGCCAGCCGCTGACGATAATCACTGCACTTGTCACCAGGGTCCCATGCTGAGGCTGGACCCACAGAGGAGGAGGGTCTCACCGTGAGACCGGCTCATAAACCAGACCAGGACCAGGACCAGGACTTACGATACTTGTTTAAATTTGGGGTACTTAACTTAACTTTAAAATCAAAACAATGCAAATATATGTAATACAATCCATGTTTTATAGTTGTCATTTCTGTGATTTTATTAGATCAGAGAGAGAGACCAGAAATAGACTAAAGAGAGAGATTAGAGAGACTAGAGAGAGACCAGAGAAAGACCAGAGAGAGACCAGAGGGAGACAAGAGATAGAGCGAGACCAGTGAGAGACCAGAGAGACAAGAGAGAGACTAGTGAAAGACCAGAGCAAGACCAGACAGAGAGACCAGAGAGGGACCAGAGGAAGACCAGGCAGAGACCAGAGAGGGACCAGAGGAAGACAAGAGAGAAAGAGAGAGAGACCAGAGAGAGACACAAGAGGGAGACTACAGAGAGACTACAGAGAAACCAGAGAGAATCCAGTCCGTTTGGAGGAACTCATCGGCCCATCAAGTCCAATCAAAACTAAATTAAATCTCAGCCAGTTCAGCTCTTTTGTCTAATGACTGGTCTGGTCTGGTAAGGCCTGGTCTGGTCTGGTCCACCTCCCTTCACCAGATCTCACTGAATATTTCTAAATCCAAAATCTTTTCATTTCCACATCCTTCTGGGTCCGTCAGCCGGTAAAGCTAACTCAACCAGCATGCACACAGCTCTGGTTCTCCAACACAAGCTCGCCACATTATAAAGTAAAGGTTCACACATGTTTTTCTTTGCTATTTTTGGGCAGAAGTTTGGCCAAGTGTCCGTGAGCTCCGGGTCTGAGCCTTAATACTGTTTGGACAAGTCTTTTCCGCGGCCAGGCTTCAGTAGCAGTAATGATAGTTGTTAATGGGGTGAAGAGGGGAAGTCCATCTCTGACAGAGGAGAGAGAGAGGGGAGAGAGAGAAGGGAGAAGGGGAGAGGGCGAGAGAGGAGGCCAAAGAAAGCAGAACTGACCTCAGCCTGATCCCAATACTTTTTATAGAAAACTGAGAGGAACGGTCCCATGTAACCCCAAGACGGAGAGACTAGAGAGAGACCAGAGTGAGACTAGAGAGAGACCAGATAGAGATCAGAGAGAGACTAGAGAGGGACCAGAGTGAGACTAGAGAGAGACCAGAGAGAGACCAGAATGAGACCAGAAAGAGACCAGAGAGAGAGAGACAAGAGAGTAAAGCCTAAGAGAAACCAGAGAGAGGCAAGAGCGAGACTAGAAAGAGACAAAAGGGAGATTAGGGAGAGACCAGAGAGAGACTAGAGAGAGACCAGAGTGAGACTAGAGAGAGACCAGAGAGAGACCAGAGTGAGACCAGAGAGAGACCAGAGAAAGAGACAAGAGAGTAAAGCCTGAGAGAAACCAGAGAGGGGCAAGAGCGAGACTAGAAAGAGACAAAAGGGAGATTAGGGAGAGACCAGAGAGAGACTAGAGAGAGACCAGAGTGAGACTAGAGAGAGACCAGAGAGAGACCAGAGTGAGACCAGAGAGAGACCAGAGAGAGAGACAAGAGAGTAAAGCCTGAGAGAAACCAGAGAGGGGCAAGAGCGAGACTAGAAAGAGACAAAAGGGAGATTAGGGAGAGACCAGAGAGAGACTGGAGAGAGACTAGAGAGAAAAAGAGAGAG